TGGGGCTGAAACATTAAGATGCAGGCCACTGTCATATTCCAAGAAGCAGCAAGGACAGGCTTTGCTCTCCCCGCTTACCACTTGCAATGACTTCCTCCTTTCCAGATTCTGCAGGACGATCTAATGAGTCCTATCAGAGAACTTTAAGAGAAAAATCATAAAAAGAATAAGTCTTGCCTGATTGTGGTTCTTTTCTGAGTCAACATTCAAAATGCTTTGACATGTTGCCTGTGTTTTCTTGTTTACAAATCGTAATTTGTAAGTTTATCTAGTGGATGGGTCTTCATAGGTACCATGGTACTGGCTGTCAAAAGTCACCATTGGTATTGTGCGGAGATAACACAGCTTGGTTATCCTAAGGATACTTCTCTAATCGCAGCCCATGAATATAACAAAGTGCATAAATTGAGAGGAGAATATAACTTTTACATTTCCAAAGACTCATTAGAATAGGATTGACTTGAATTACTAAAAGCTTGAACCCTAGGCCATGTCAAGGTATACATTTGATATTAATGTTTCCACAATATTTCTGATGCATTTACTGGTTTGGGGATTTTTGTTTGTTTGTTTGTTTGTTTTTGGTTATTTGTTTTTCTGTTTTTATTTGCTGCTCTTTGGGAATATCTCTATTTTATAATAAAGAAAACAATTTATGGTAATTATCNCATTTCACCAGCCATTCCCATACTTGCTGCCATCAGTGCGAAAGCCCCAGACAACACTGAGTACTAGGAACACTGAGGAAGAGACGGATCACACAGTAGGCTGCATGTTCAGTTGCTAGTGCATTTTCCATTGCCTGTTTCCAGATTTCATTCACAAATGGCCTGGTCTCCACCAGCATCGGCTGTGTGGCAAATGCAACCAGGTTAGCTCCAGCCGCCACGTGTGCAAAGAGCTTTACATGGTTCTCACAGGAGATCTCTAAGAATGGCTAGAAGTGTTACAATTCCCACTCTACAGATGAGCTAGCGAAGGCTCTGAATGCCTAGGTCACCAGCGTCACACACTTAGCAGGCAGCAAAGCCGTCACGGCACCAGGGTGTACAACTTCTAATTTCGTGCTGATCCTCGTGTGATTACCAAAGCGGTGTGCACAGTTTGCTCTTGCAACACTTTGTCATTAGAGCCTGCCACCAAATGCACAGTGGAGGTAGACCATGCCCTCATGGTGTTCAGGGGGCAGGGACCCTTCTCGGCATACTCTCAGCTGCACGTGTCACCATGCTGTGAGACAATGTGGAGAAGCACATCTGTTTTTGTTTTAATCTCCTTGGGGAAGGTAATTTATGAGTGGAGTGAAGAGTTGAGCAGATATCTGATTATCAAAGGGTTGAGATGCAGGAGCAAATAAATTGAAGGCAATCCTGAAACAGCCTGTGGAGAACTGACAGTCGTGCACATAACGAGTTTGGTGGGGCTGAAACATTAAGACGCAGGCCACTGTTGTATTACAAGAAGCAGCAAGGACAGGCTTTGCTCTCCCCGCTTACCATTAGCAATGACTTCCTCCTTTCCAGATTCTGCAGGATGATCTGATGAGTTCTGTCAGAGAACTTTAAGAGAAAATTATAAAAAGCATCAGTCTTGCCTGATTGTGGTTCTAATCTGAGTCAACATTCAAAATTCTTTGACATGTTGCCTGTGTTTTCTTGTTTACAAATCGTAATTTGTAAGTTTATCTAGTGGTTGGGTCTTCATAGGTACCATGGTACTGGCTGTCAAAAATCACCATTGCTATTGTGTGGAGATAACACAGCTTGGTTATCCTAAGGATACTTCTCTAATCGCAGCCCATGAATATAACCAAGTGCATAAATTGAGAGGAAAATATAACTTTTACATTTCCAAAGACTCATTAGAATAGGATTGAGTTGAATTACTAAAAGCTTGAACCCTAGGCCATGTCAAGGTATACATTTGAGATTAATGTTTCCACAATATTTCTGATGCATTTACTGGTTTGGGGATTTGTTTGTTTGTTTGTTTGTTTTTGTTATTTTTTTTGTTTGTTTTTCTTTTTGCTGCTCTTTGGGAATATCTCTATTTTATAATAAAGAAAACAATTTATGGNCTATTGTGCTGAGATAACACAGCTTGGTTATCCTAAGGATACTTCTCTAATCGCAGCCCATGAATATAACAAAGTGCATAAATTGAGAGGAGAATATAACTTTTACATTTCCAAAGACTCATTAGAATAGGATTGACTTGAATTACTAAAAGCTTGAACCCTAGGCCATGTCAAGGTATACATTTGAGATTAATGTTTCCACAATATTTCTGATGCATTTACTGGTTTGGGGATTTTTGTTTGTTTGTTTGTTTGTTTGTTTCTGGTTATTTGTTTTTTTGTTTTTCTTTTTGCTGCTCTTTGGGAATATCTCTATTTTATAATAAATAAAACAATTTATAGTAATTATCCAGAAGAGAGACAATATTTGTTTCAAACGATTAGTGATGCTCTATGACTAATAAGTGGTGAATTGATTTGCTAATGTTTAGAAAGGTGTATCACATCTTAAGTATTTGTTGATTAAACATGGGATAATAAGGATGTTATTTTCCTCTTATTGGCCTGTTGAGCTCCAAATCTGTCTTTCACTAACAAAGTCTTTTCTGCATAAAATCTACTAAGATAGCAGCATGAGTCCCAAATCTCAGCTCTTACTCAACTCATATTTTTCCACTAGTCAATATACCTCATTTCTTCAAATCATTAATCAACTTTGTAAAAGATTTTCTGGGGCTGGCCCGGTGGCGCACTGCTATAGTGTGCCACTTGGGAGTGCAGTGGCGCTCCCGCCGAGGGTTCGGATCCCACATACAGACCAGTTACCACTCACTGGCTGAGCGAGGTGCGGGCGCATCACCAAGGGTTGCGATCCCGTTGCCGGTCCCGGTCCGGTATGGGCACGACACTGAGGGTTGCGATCCGTTGCCGGTCACGAAAAAAGACAAAAAGGAAAAAAAAAAAAAAGATTTTCTGGTCTGGCTTTTTAACCATGGAAACAAAGAACAGATGTGAAAATGACATATAGTTAACCAAATCCAACCTGAGGGGGAGGGTCCATTTGAAAGCCCATTTACTACTATCTTTTCACAGTATACGTGAGAGCAGTTATGTAGAATGGTGAAATAAAGGTACAAATTTCAAATATTCTTTGTGTTCAACAATATATGTTTCAGATGAAACATAGGTGTTTTATGCAATTTGCCGTATGGTCTTTTCTAGAGAGTATTTTCTAGATACCTTTTTGAGATTAAGTATGGCACTAATTCACATATTATTTCTATGAGCTCACTGAAATTTTACTGAGGCTCTGAGATGGACAAACGAAGCAACACTGTGTGTCACATTAAGTCCCGAGCCGTGCACACCACAGCTGTGGCGTCCCCATCCTAGTTCTTTACAGACTTTTACCCATCGCTGAACATGTGTTTAAGATTTGGCAACACGTAAAGTTCATGAACTCTTAGAAAGCCTAGTAATTTGGTGGATATAATCAGTACACATCTGGCTGGGATGTAAATAAATAAATTCAGTGAGTCATCCTTAAAATTTAGAAATAATACTAAATCAATATTTTAAAATTATATACACCATATTTACTAATTCATTTTAAGGAATTAAGAAAATTAAGAGTTCACAGCAAATATTTCAAACGGCCTCTTTTTTTTCAGCACAACCGTTTTCTCTATGTCAACACTCTGAACCCAGCTGCGGTGGGACGTGAGGCTCTATTAAGGGTAAACGGAGTTTGACTTGCAGTTAACTTGTATCCGTGCTGTTCCAATTAAACTTCACGTTCTAGCCGCTTGTTTCTTTTCTTTTTTTTTTTGTCTTTTTTGTCTTCTTTGCAGAAGACCATCAAATGGATTGTCACAATGCTCGGATAATGCAGGACACAGAGCAGGATGACAACAATAACAATGAATATGGCAATTATGATGAGCTGGTGGCCAAGTCCTTGCTAAACCTCGGCAAAATTGCTGAGGAGGCAGCCTACAGGGCCAGGACTGAGTCGGAAATGAACAACAATACCTCCAACAGCCTGGAAGACGACAGTGACAAAAATGAAAACTTGGATCAGAAAAGCGAGCTCAGTTTAGACTTAGACAGCAACGTGGTCAGAGAAACAGTGGACTCCCTTAAGCTGCTAGCACAAGGACACAGCGTCGTGCTCTCAGACAACATCAACGACAGAAACTACACAGAGCGTCATGTCACAGCAGGACAGTCGGAGCGTGAACTATGTCATGTTGGGGAAGCCTCTGAACAACGGGCTCGTGGAGAAAAGGGTGGAGGAGAGCGATGAGGAGGTGTGCCTGAGCAGCCTGGAGTGTCTGAGGAACCAGTGCTTCGACCTGGCCAGGAAGCTCAGGGAGACCACCCCACAGGAGCGGAACCCCCAGCAGACCCTGAGAGGGCGCCAGCACGCCAGACCAGAGGACGACTTCCTGGGCAGGACACCGGACAGGAACTACTCAGACATGATGAACCTCATGAGGCTGGAAGAGCAGCTGAGTACCCAGCCCAGAACGTTTTCTAGTTGTGCAAAGGAGGACGGGTGTCACGAGCGAGATGACAAAACTACCTCCGTCAACTCGAACAGGTCCGAAGAGGTGTTTGACATGACCAAGGGGAACCTGACTCTTCTCGAGAAAGCCATCACCCTGGAAACGGAAAGAGCAAAGACCATGCAGGAGAAGATGGCCATGGAAGCGGGGAGGAGGGACAATATGAGATCCTATGAGGACCAGTCTCCAAGGCAGCTTCCCGGGGAGGACAGGAAGCCCAAGTCCGGCGACAGTCATGTCAAAAAGCCATACTATGGTAAAGGTAATATTTCTACCTAATGTAAGTTGCCTCATGAAAGCATGGGCTAGAGTGAAAAGTACTGGTGATAGTCTACAATTAAAGTATGAGTTACACTCAAGTGTATCTCTAATGCACGTTTTTAGAGTTGATTTCAGAATTATATTTTATGATTATATTTCTGAAGAGCAAATAAAATATTTGTCTGAGAAGAAGACAAAGCAGCTCAATGTCACATTACTAGTGCAGATAACCGATAAAATATTTCAGTGGGTAAGTGCACTCCCTGGGAAGACAGATCAAAGCAGCAACACATCATGTGATAGAAAATACTAGGATAAGCCCATGATGTTATAAATGAACCACAATCTATGTTGAGTGTCAAGAGTTTCTGTAACAATTAGCTAATCAGAGATAAAGCACATATTTTATAAACAGGATTGAGTATGTGGCATTGTGATTTATAAAATTATCATCAAATGACACTGATGAAATCAGCCCCAAAGAAAACACCCCTGAGAGAAACTGAGCAGTAACAGAATGACCGATAACATGAGGTTAGGGCAGTGACTGCACGTTCATCGCTCGGGACAGTAAGGCACTGGAAGCCTTTTGCTATGCAAGGCTCAGTGTGGCCTGCAGCTGAGATCAATAGTGATTTATTCAGCATGTCCCTTCCTCCTCACCAACCCCACTCCAGTGTGGAAACTGTTATGGTGCTTTCCTCAAATGCAATTTATTATAAAACACTCAAAACTATCCAATATGATAGTTTTAGCCAAATTTTCTTTTATTGAGGGCACATATTTGTGTATATCTATACATTAAAGTGTATATACATATATATATATACATATATATACTATACATATATAGTAAGTATGTCATATCTATATATGTGCATATATATCCAACCTGAATGACTGGCTCCATCTTTGCAATGACAGTGCCCACTGTCAATACCAGGCAGGTTCTAATTCAGGCTCATGCACAGCCTTGGCATTATCAATACCTTGATCACAAGTTTCTTTTATAACTAAGAAGCAATTTTAAGAATGAAATTGGTGATTCCTTAAATACTTCTACATTAGTACCAAAGAAAATCATTTTTCATTTTTTATTTTATTCTATTTTTATGAATACTTGTACCAAAAAAAAGAAATTTTCTTTTTTTATTTTATTCTATTTTTATGAATACTGAGTTTCCTCATTGTGGATCTGACAATGCAGTTTAAGAATTTGGTTTGAAAATCAGTTGCTGTATAAACTTCAAACGATTGCATTTTTTTCCAGAAAAAACTGCATTTTTTCTAATGTGACATAGGTGTGTATTCTCCTCTCAATGTGTGCACATAACTTCTGTGGCAAGTTGGGCATTGCTATAACCAAATCCAAATTGGAGACAAACCTTAGCCAGAGGCTCAGGGGCTTCTTGGTCTGGCAGTGCTTGGGCGTGAGAGATGTTTGAGGTGCATAGATGAAGACTAGACTGTGGGAAGGTGTAGCATATGACAAAAAGGCTGGATTTTTTTTAGGGGAAATAGGGTCTTTAGCTCAGCAGAGCTTTGGGCATTTTAAAAAGATAGTGCTATCATTGTAAGATATGCCAAAAATTATCCATTAGAAAATTTTAGTTGAATTTCTGAGAATCGTACCGGAGGAGCCAAACATTTTTAGGAAGAA